CTAACTAAATATTTTACTACTATTTATAATATAATATAACTACCTCTATAAGCTCTTAAATAAATATTAGATATAGCTTTACTCTATAAGCTATTTAAAGAAAAATATACTACTTTTATAATAATATACTATAGCTTTCTATAATAAAGCCTTAAAGAATACTAAGTATAATAAGCTATGCTCTATTTAGAATCTTAGGCTTTAGAAGCTTAGGCCTTTAGAACTTTATCTATTCTATAATACTAAAATTATTATATCTTCTAAGAAGTACTATAAAATATAGCTAGCAGAACTTCTAGAGTTTTATATCTAAATTTATAACTTTAATACTTAGCTACTACTCTTAGAGTTCTATCTCTTATATTTAAATTAGATCTCTTTAGCTACTAAGTTATAAGACTTATATAGCTATCTATATAATAGAAAATAATAGACTTAAAAGATATTATTATTAAGCTATTAAAGAAGACTACTATTAGTTTAGCTTAAGCTAAAAGCTTATAGTAGAAGATATATAAGTACTTAAAAGACTTAGTTTTAACTTATAATCTAGACTAGAATAAGCAGACTAAGAAACTCTAGCTTATTAAAGATTCTCTAGATAAAGATACTAGATAACTTATCTGCTTCTCTCTAGAAAAATAACTAGAATTTTTATAAGTAAGAAAGATATAACTTATTTATAATAATACTATAGACTTATAAAATATTATTATAGCTCTCTAGCGCTAGCTTATAGAATAATAGTAGTAAGAGAAAGTCTATATTAACTAACTAAAGTAGCATTTATCTAATATATACTTTATTCTAGAATATAAATATAAAGTAGAGATATTATTAAGAATCATAAGCTAGACTAAAAGAAGATAGTAACTGCTCTCTACTATTAGTATAAAAAAGCATTAAAAAAATATAAGAATATATAATCTAGTACTAGTTAATAGTTCTAAGCGAGGCCTATATAGGCACTATAAACTAATACTAGAAACTTCTTAAAAATTAGCTTAGGCAATAATAACTACTTTGCTCTAAGCTAAGCTTAGTAGGTTTATAATTTATATAGTATCTATAGTTTATATAACTATAGTAGCAAAACTATATAGGCGCGTAGGTTAAGAATAAATAAGACTATCTATTTAGCTATAATCTTCTATTTTCTTTATTAAGTTATACTGCTATTATTATTATTATCTTACTATTAAAACTTCTATACTATATTATATTACTATTATAACTAGTCTTATCTAAGAGTAACTATAAAGCAGTAAGCTTTATACATTTAAGATTATCTACGTTAGAGTATATAGGCTTGCTAGCCTAGTTTTAAAGTAGCTAGTAAGAGCTACGCTATACTACTATATTATTAATATTATAGAATTAGTTCTATAAGGTATCTATTAGATCTCTTACTTTAGCCTTAGCCTACTTTCTTATATAATATAATATTAACTATATTAAACTTAAAAGTAGTAAAGCTTTTATATATCTTAATATTATAAATGCTATAGAAGTATACTAACTTAGATATGCGCTGCTACGTTACTATATCTCTAAGTATAATCTTTATATAGATAAGTATATGATAAAAAAAGTAAAACTTAATGCTAGTAGCTTAAATAAAGAAGAAAAGAAAAGAGAGATAGCAGCTATATAAGTATAAGTAAGAGTTTCTTAAATAGTTATAGAAGCTAGTAAGCATTAAGTAGATAGCAATAATTCTAAGAGTAATATATTTAATATAGCTATTTATAAGCATCTACTGCTATAGGTGCTAAGCAAAGAAGCTTATTAGTAGCACGCCTATAGAATATTAGATTATAGAGTTCTATAGTATTAGTGTTTAATATTTAATATAGAGACTTATATATAGAAGAGTTACTTAACGTATAATTATATAATAGATTCTCTTATAAGCCTTAATTATAACTTAAATTTATATAGATTACTTAGTATTTTAGACTATTAAAGCATTTCTAGTAAAGCTACTAGTAGTAGTATATAAAGATAGATCTTAAAATAATTAAGAACTTTTTATATATTAATAGAAACTACTTTTACTAACTTAAAAGCTTTTTTATAATTCTTATATATAAATATATTAGTTAGCTTCGGCTACTAATTTTGTAAACTATATTTTATAACTATATTTTATACTCTAGTTAATCTTACTAATATAATACAGCAATAGCTCTCTCTACTCTTATTAAGTAACTTTTCTATATATAAGTTCTAGCATTAAATATTAAACACTAATACTCTAGAACTCTATAATCTAATAGATAAGCTTACTGCTAATAAGCTGCCTTACTTAGCACCTATAGTAGCAGGTGCTCTGCAAATA